ACAAAATAAAAAGTTGAGTGTAGTCAGGATATGCCAAAACTGGAGGAGTCCTCAACAGCTCTTTGAGATCCACAAACGCCTGCTCACAATCTGAAGACCAGATGAAATATGACATTGATGACTTTAGCAATACTTACAACGGTGCAATGCAATTAGAAAGATGATCCACAAAACGACTGAGATACTGCACATTTCTTAGGAAGTGCTACACATCATTCACACACTTTGAAGTAGGGAACTTTAGAATGGCTACAAGTTTGTCATGATCAACTTACAAACCCTCACGAGAAATACGGTACCCAAGATAAGTTGTGTCTTTGGATCTAAACATGCACTTTGACCATTTCAGCTTTAAACCAATGTCCTGTAGCCGATCCAACACTTTACACACATCACGAATGTGCTTCTCCCACGTCCCCTCTGAGTGAATCGAGACATCATCAATGAAGTCAGCAGTCACCTCCGGCATATCACAAAGAACCTCGTCCATCATCTGCTGGAAAGTTGCTGGAGCATTGTTCAAACTAAACGGCATCACCAAGAACTTGTACAAACCAAACGGTGTACGAAAAGCAGTCTTAGGAATATCTTCTTCGGCCATCGGTACTTGCCAGTACCCAGAAGCAAGATCTAGCTTGGTGAACTAACGACTTCACCTTAGATGATCCAAGAGATTAGTAGTGTGAAGAAGAGGGTACATATCTGAGATCATCACTTCATTTAACGGACGATAGTCGATGTAGAAACGAATACTCCTATCAGGCTTCGTCACAAAATGAGGTTCACATGCCCAAGGACTCCGCAATTTTCAAATAACACCCTTCTCCAACATCTTCTTGACGTTTGCATATAAAATCTTGATCTCCTTGGGTGACCGACAACGAACAGGAACCTTGATTGGACGAGCATCCCTGGTTGGAATCGGATGATATGTGGCAATCTTGGCCCCAAACGATAGGTCAAATTCAAAGAGATAAGAATACTCCTTCATGAGCTAGTCAACAGCTGCAACACAAAGATCGTCGAAGGGATCGGAAAAGGGAAGAGTAGAACAAGATGGAAACAAAGGAGGAAATAGTGGGGGAACAAAAATAATGGAAGTAGAGGTAGAAGTAGAGGGACAAAGAGGTATGGAAGTGAGAGGAATGGATGAAACATAAAGAACTATGAAACAAAGGGGAAAAACTTCAAAGTCACACTTGGCATGATTACATTATAACCAATCCATACCAAGAATGAGGTCAAAAGCTTGACTCAGCACCACCCGTAATGACTGCAACTCAAGCTCGAGATCGCCCACATGCACAACCAGGTCCACCTCATCTCATGCACATGCATGTGTACGGCCATTGCCATAAAGAATGAAAATTGGGTCTGCCGCACAACGCAAGTGTAGATGACAACATGTGGCAACAGGTTAATCAATAGAAGATAAACTCGAACCTATATCAACCAACATGGAGAGAATAATAGGAGACCTCTTGTTATAAAAACGAGCTTGGAAAGTAAACACTGGATGAACTGATGTCGAGTGAACCCCTTGATGATACTTCCGAAAGAAAGATGGAGGGGTCACTAACTTATTTGCGCAAGGTCCCTTTGTTACTCGTGTGACTCTTTGTTTTCCGGATGCACCTTGGAGTCCAAACCTTCTACTGCAGTAGCACTAACAGGACATTGCTGACGCCAAGGTCTCCACCCAGGAAATGGAGGTTGCCAATCCAGAAAGCACCGACAATGCCGATAAATATGACCAACTTCATCATATGCCCAACAACAAACATCACAGCCACGACCATGTCTTTGCCCTTGTCCTTGGACTCGAGTAGCAGTAGCATCAACCTCCATTGGAACAGGACTATCACTTATACAAAGTGGAGCTGAAGGACGTGCAACGAGAAGTGGAAGAGGCGACGTCTCATAATGTTGTGCCAAGCGAAGAGCATCATCAAGGGTGGTAGGAGCAAATGCATGCATAAGTCTGACAAGATCTTGATGAAGTGTTGGCCACAACATTCCTAGCTTGATTCGCTCCGACATATTGGGCTCCGCACGAAGTAAAAGACTTCGGAAATGAACGCCAAATTGCATCATTGACTCAGATGTCCCTTGGTGTAGCGCATGTGATCATGGGATGAGATTTGGATATACTGTCACCGTGGATCCTTGGAACCTTGGGGGATAAAATGGGGATAAAATAGCCACTAAGGGCTCTCTCATCAAGCAATTGCCCCTTTTCCAGTTGGCTTAAGGGGAGAGAGATAAGGTGCGCTACAGTTGGTATCGGAGCAAATGGCACGGGTTCGATTCCCATTGATTAGTGGCTACCTAAAATATAATATACCCTTGAGCAAGGTATATTCCTACCCCTAAATTAGAAAATTGTACGTATTGGGCATCCATGCGTACGTCCTTCCTCTTGTGGAGCATCCCAGACGAAGGTATCCACCGTGGGACTGCGGTACGGGTGGATGACTAGTTGCCTCACATGGAATAGCTGGTCTACACAATGGAAGGATTGGTAGATTCAGTGCGGAAATGGAGGTGCTGGTTCCCCTTGGCTCAGTAGGGGTTGTTAGTCAATAGTCAATGAGGACATTGACATCTCTGAAGGGGGGGTGAGTGTAGCGCATGTGATCATGGGATGAGATTTGGATATATTGTCACCGTGGATCCTTGGAACCTTGGGGGATAAAATGGGGATAAAATAGCCACTAAGGGCTCTCTCATCAAGCAATTGCCCCTTTTCCAGTTGGCTTAAGGGGAGAGAGATAAGGTGCGCTACACTTGGCGAAGACGATGCAATTGTTGGAAGGCATCATCACAATTGTCGGCATGTTCGAAGGCGCGTTTAAAGACGTCCGGAAGAACACTCCAATCCCTACGAGTAGCTATGCTCAATCCATTGTACCACTGCAACGCCATCCCTTGGAAACACGTGGGAAACTCACACAAACATCGAGCATCATCCCAAGAATGATATGTGGCAATTACCGTGAAGTGATCGAACCAATGGTACACATCATCCCCAGGATTCCTGAGAAAGAACTCCGGCCGAACGCGAGGATTGGCATCAAGAGCAGGAGGAATTGTATCACGTGCTGTGAATGTCGCCATTAATTGAGTTTGGTTGTTCAATTGCAAGCGCATAGCATCAAGCAATTGGACCAATTGCTGCTCTAGAGTCAAAGGAGGAGATTGTTGATCTGCCATGAAGATGAATGAAAAAGAAAGAGCAAAAGAAGAGAAATGACAAAAAGCTAGAAGATCTAGACAATGCAAAAAGTTAGATCTAAACCAAAATCCTAAAAGGGAAGAACAGAAGAAAGGAAATGGAAAAAGCTAGATTTAGATGATGTAAAAGCTAGATCTAAATCAAAATCCCAAATCCAAGCACTCTTCAGGGACAATCAAAGGTGCCCTTCACTTCCACCAATGTGAGTGCATGGAATATGGACTGGGAATACAGAAATGTGCATATCAATTAGCCCAAAAACCCTAGCTTATATACAAGAGCGAGTGGTCCAGATTGAAACCAATCCAACGGTTACTAAAATCCCACTATACTAATATTAGTATACAGCATCATAGCCGTACACTTGACCCTCACAACACCATATTTGTTTATTTTATGGAAAACAAAATATATATTATAATTTTTCAAATGTTTCAAACAAAAGAAAAAAAATTAATCACTTGATTCAGTTTAGACAATGTAGTGCACCTTTTTTCTCTTCCCTTAAGCCAACTGGAAAAGGGGCAATTGCTTGATAAGAGAGCCCTTAATGGCTATTTTATCCCTATTTATCCCCTAAGGTTCCAAAGATCCATGATGACAGTATATCCAAACTTCATCCCATGATCACATGAGATTGTAATAGTAAATAAGGATATTGATTATTACCTTCGTCCATATTTCCGCACTAAATCTACCAATCCTTCCATGATCAGATGAGATTGTAATAGTTAATAAGAATATTGACTATTACCTTCATTCGTATTTCCACACTGAATCTACCAATCGTCTGTATTTCCGCACTGAATCTACCGTACCGCAGTCCCACAGTGGCCCATACATACGATTTCAAATTTAGGTAAGAATATACCTTACTCAAGGGTATATTATATTTTTAAGTAGCCATTAATCAATAAGAATCGAACTCGTGCCATTTGCTCTGATATCAATTGTAGCGCATTTTATCTGGAAAAAAGGCAATTGCTTGATGAGAGAGCCCTTAATGGCTATTTATGATCACATGTGCTATAGACAAGGAGGTTTATATAAAGAGTTTTAAATAATAATTATTGTCTTTGAGTGGAAAAATTTCTTATTTACAATTGTGTTTCCTATTTAATTATAAATATTTATATATTAATTTAAATAATCAATGTTTTCAATTTTTTAATCATATCAAAGGTTTGTAACATATGCAACACCTTGGCATTTTTTATTCTATGTGACATGAAAGATGAGGTGATCAAAGTGGCAGAGCTCTTCTTCAGCAATGCAATGTCAAGCGAGCCATTCACTCCATCATGACCGAAGCATGATCACTATCATGATCCATACACTTGCTTGGGGCTCCAGAGATCTGTGTGCTGGAATGCGATGACTACTGCATATGCCCAGCGCAGGCATACTGTCGAAGCGAGAAAGCTACTGACTCCATGCCCGCCAAGATCGATCTTCCTGGAATTCGATGCTCTCGTCTTCAGATATTCGCTCGCTTTCTTGGAAAACTGGTGATGGCGAGCAAACGCGGAAGCCGTGACACCCCAGGCAGCTTTTCCGGCATGGAGTGGAAGATCGAAGTAGCGTTTCGAACGAATCCATTGTGCGCGTAGCCGTGGAGCATAGCAGACCAGGAAACCAAGCTCGCCTCCTTCATCGCCGCGAAGATCTCCTCGGCCTTGGACAGAAGCCCGTTTTGAGTATATGCGATCACACGCTGTACCGGGCAGCGTTTCGTCGAGATGCGAGCGAGCTTGTTTTCAGCATGCCTTTCAAGCCAGACTCGTGGACTCTTAGCTCGATTCATCAACCGTTGTAAGAAGAGATCGACCAAAATCAATCAGTGGATCCATCCGAGAGATGAAAGACTTTTTCGAGAGCTTTAGTTACCGGTTGATCCATTCGTTGGCACGACCACCCGACTCGTCCATGTCGATGAAGAGGCTCACGGCCTTGCCAATGCGTGGCCTCTCTTTTGTCTTCTCGAGGCTGGAGCGAATCACCGATACGGCTCCCCAGCACTTGAGAGCGTTGGCCACATCGTCCAAGTGTAGGAGATACTCTTCCTCGCTCAGTGGAAACGATCTCTGGAAGAAAACATAGCCATAGAAGCTCGAGTTTACGCAAGAATCTAGCTCCAAAGTACCTGTTCTCGATATTTCCACATGACATTCATGGCCAAGTATTGCTTCCCCAAGAATTCCTGTGGATGGATCGTGAGCAAGCATCGAAAACACTGTCCTTTGCTGGAAGAAGTTCTTCGAGTCTTACCTTCTTGATGAGCTGAACGTCGTAAGATCTTCCATACTTCTTTCGAATCAGGCCCGCCAGATCAATCCCGCTGAAGCTCATCTCGTTCTTGTCCACGCTCTTTTCCAGGTCCTCCCGGAATCTCTCGGCATCTGCCTACACAGCGCGAGTCACAAGAACCAGAAATATTACCGAGAGAAGACCGCGATCGATCGCATTGCCTACTCACATCTGCTGGATTCCACTTCAGATCCTCGCTCTCTTCTTCATCATCGCTCTCCGACGAATCTCTGCTCGCGGCGGAGGCCCTTACTTGGACGAAGCAGCACCTGATCGCCGGCTGGCACGACGACGAGAAGGCTACTGCCGCTCGAATCCCAAATTTCTTCGTCTGGATCAATCCACCGCAATCCAAGAGAGCGATCGAGGCCGCGCGATCCGATGCCGCCGCGCAAGCGCTGAGCTGCTTCATTGTTGCCCTAGATTATGCCCGCCCGCCATCGCCAAGCTCATTGGCCATTCATTCCCGCCACGTATCTTTGCTGACCTGGCATTTTCTTGCCCACAAGTTTGAAAGCATTGGTTTTAGGTCATTTTATTTCTATCGTTCTAGCTGGGAGCTATGCTCCCGCGCTATCGTCATGGATCCCCTTCTTAGCAGCTCGTTGGTAGGGCATGGCGTGAGAAGCATTGATCTCCACAGCAAGCTATTGCTACTCGGTGGATTTAGTTATGGCAGTAGTCCAGGAATCCAGAAAATTTCATCTGCGCGGAGGTTCAAGGCTTCTGGATCATCCGCAGCGGCGGATAAGCTCATCGACGATCGCAGCGCCGAGGATTCACCAGTTAGCTCCTCGATTGGAGTGAAGGAGCCGGTCTACGAGGTGAAAATCTCTCTCGGCTTATATTCTCAGCTAACTATTGCTTTCCAGGTTCTACAAGTGGATCCCAGAGGGAATGTGATCAAGAAAGAAGTTAGCCGGCGACAATTGCTAAAGACCAGCGGTAAGAGGTAGTGAGCTTGGTTTCTTTCTTGCTGGATTGGTGATGTTTCTATGTTTTCTTGGTCAGGTTTGAGGCTACGTGATATAAGGAGCGTAGACCCGTCGCTATGGGTCACAAACTCGATGCCATCCTTACTGGTAATCCTCGTGTTTCTCTTGGAGGATTTCTATCATGTTTGTTTTGCTAGAGCTGGATCAGGTACGAGACAATGCGATATTGTTGAACCTCGGTAGCTTGAGAGCAATTGCTACTCCCGAAAGTGTTCTTCTCTTCGACCACAAGAAGTAAGAAAGAAAGTGATCGTCTTGCTTGTGGTGATTTGCTCACACTGCTGCAGCATTGGTGCACAGCTGTTCCTGGAGACCATCGTTCAGCGACTTAACGTAGAAAATTCTGGAAGCGTGTCAATGCCCTTTGAGCTTGAGGTAGGCAACCTCTTAAGAAATATCACAGACTCTTAAGCTGAATTGGTTAGCTAGGTAATCGAAGCAGCATTGATTTCCAGAACGCAGAGGCTGGAACAAACCTTGATGAAGGTTGAACCTAAAGTAAGAATCATCGATCGCTAAACGCTGGCCTTGTGTAACGATTAAATGAACAGGTGTTGGCGTTGCTGGAAATATTGCCAAATAAACTCACAGGGGATGTTCTGGAGGACCTTCGAGTTAGCAAGCAATCACTGGTAGACGAGCTTTCTTGCACGTATAATTCGTGACCTTTGAACATTTCAGGTGGAACTCATAGCGAAGTCAGACGCTCTGAGACAAATGCTTCTCGACTTGCTTGAAACTCCACAGGACATTCGTAGGATGGCGATCCTCGGGCGCAATTGCAGACTGGGCAATAACGGGTCATTCGAATGCGTCGTATCAGCTGATAAGCAAATCGCCGAAGGTATCGTGGATATGATTTGCGATTTTCTTGATTGAATGATTTTTCCAGACGAAGAAGAGGAGATCGAGATGCTTATAGAAAACTACCTGCAACGGTACGTGCGTTTAAGTTTGAACAAATATGGATTTTCACTCGATTCTATATGATAGAAGCGAGTCATGTCACGGCCAAGCGCAAAAGCTCCTTGATTCCGCTAGAGAGATGGAGGACTCCATTGCTGTAAACTTGAGGTATGGATCCCAAAATCGGAGTAAACCATGACTTGATCGTTTCCTTTGTAAACTTTCAGCTCCAGACGGCTTGAAGTTGGTCGCCTGGAACTCTTGCTCCAGGTAGCAACATTCTGCTCGGCCCTGGGTGCTCTCATCGCAGGTAGAGTCTCTGGATTATAGTTGTTCTCCCTGCAAACTCTAATTGCAAAACACACGCGCAGGGCTCTTCGGGATGAACTTGAGATCCTATTTGGAAGAACGCACTGTAAGAACGGTTTTCCTTTCGTGCATCTCACAGCAGTGCTAACGCTCCAAGCCTTCGTGATTGCAGTACGCGTTTTGGCTCACCACGGGGGGAATAATCGTCGGGGGCATCATGCTGTTCTTGATGATGTACAATTATCTCAAACAGCGACGGATTCTCTAAGAGGTACTTTTCAGTTTCTTCGTTTCTTCGCACACATTTATAAAAGCTGTGCAAGTGATTGCGATGACTGTCCAAATCTAGGAAGGTACTTCGATGCTCTTTAGTGCTAGGCTGAGTTGGAACGCATCGCACGAGAAGAAAGCGGACGAGCATTACGCTCTTCTTTTGCATAAAAGGATGCTGCCACAGAGATGGTGTTGGAGGACGCAGAGAAAGTTGGTGCTCGCGATTCCTTGTCGGACGATACCAGATCATTCCACTAGGGAAGAGCAACCGATCATCGGATGGCAAAGCTCGCGGGAACGATCGTTTGCTGCTACTGGATCACTGTGGTGGCCTCCTCCTCCTCGTCTCCCGCGATCGGAGTGAACTGGGGGACGTTTGAGTCCGTGAAGCTGGATCCCAGAGCAGTGGTGGAGATGCTCGAGGCCAACGGGATTGGAAGAGTGAAGCTCTTTGACGCGGATCCAGCGGTCGTGGGCGCTTTCAGGAACAGCAAGATCGAGCTCACGGTGGCGCTGCCAAACGAGATGCTGCGGCTGGTGGGATCGCTCCCGGCGGCAGCTCGCAATTGGGTTCGTAGGAACGTGACGCGCTACATCCGAGAGAACGTCAATATCAAGTAAAAACTCTCTCTCGATCGATCGTAGAGAAAGCTAGAAAAAAGAAAAGCTTGCCTGGATGGATCATGGCTGTTTGGCTGCTTGATCGATTGCTCCCAGCTTTTGGAGCATCTGGAACATAGATGAAAGTCGATGAGTGGTAACTTTAGCGTTTCTAGCATCTGGAAAGTCCATGAGTGGTTTTGTCTGATCGATTGTTACCAGCTTTTCCAGCATCTGGAACATAGATCAAAGTCGATGAGTGGTAGCTTTGATCGATTACTACCTCGATTGACGTCCAAAACTTTGTCCATCCAGGTATGTAGCGATCGGCAACGAGCCCTTCCTCAAGAGCTACAATGGGAGCTATCAATCCTACACGTACCCAGCGCTGATCAACATCCAGAACGCGCTACGCGGCGGCGACGAAGGCACCCGCGCCGTCAAGGCAACCATCCCCATGAACGCCGACGTGCTGGCGGAGACCGTACCCATGGTCCCATCGGCGGGCGCATTCCGTACCGATGTGGCCGCCGAGATGATCCGCATCGCCGCCGCGCTCGCCGATCACGCGTCGCCCTTCACGATCAACATCTACCCCTTCCTCAGCCTGGCGCAGGATCCATTCTTCCCCAAGGAATTCGCCTTCTTGGACGGCGCCGCCCCGCCGCTCGTCGATGGCGATCGATCCTACTCCAACGCCTTCGCCGCCGCCTACGATACCCTAGCCGCGGCGCTCGCGAGGATCGGCTTCCCGGACATGGCGATCGTGGTGGGAGAGATCGGCTGGCCGACCGAGGGGCATCCCGACGCCACCGCTACAAATGCTCAGCGATTCAACCAGCGGCTCGTGGATCACATCCTGGACGGCGCCGGGACGCCGATGCGCGCGGGGCCGATGGAGATCTTCCTCTTCGCGCTGCTCGACGAGGACCAGAAACCTATCGCGGCTGGAAACTTCGAGCGCCACTGGGGAATCCTCGCATCCGACGGGGCGGCAAAGTACACGCTCAACCTAACAGTTTTGGGCGGGACAACTTCAAATTCAAATTCAAATTCAAATTTGAATTTGAATTCTTCCCGCCCGGCTATGGCGCTGAACGGGGTTATGGTTCGTCACCTCCCCAGCAAGTGGTGCGTGCTCAATCCCGACGCCGATGTCACGCTCGTCGGCCAGAACATGGAGTACGCTTGCAGCTTCGCCGATTGCACGCCGCTCATGTATGGGGGATCGTGCAACGAGATTGGGGGCGATGGGAACGCCTCCTTCGCTTTCAATAGCTACTTCCAGATCAATCAGCAGGAGCGCCACTCCTGCCACTTCGATGGATTGGGGACAATCACCAAAGTGGATCCATCGCTGGGATCTTGCGTCTTCCGGATTGGAATCCAGTCGGCCGCCACCAGGAGGAGCCAGAGCTGGATCACAGCAGTAGCTTTAATCTTTCCTCTCTTTTCCTCGCAAATACTTACATCGCTTCCTTGAAAATCGATCACTTCCATCCCTTCTCCTCTCGCAATCGCTCAAACATCAAAATCTTTCCAGCTTCCAGAGGGCGATGAGAATCGCGCTCGCCGCAACCAGCAAATCTCTGATCGAGTAGCAACCATTTCTTCGTGATCCACCGGAGCTCTCACTGCTGGTGCTGGTGCTGTTGCTATCACCACCGCTAGAACCAGGCGAGCGAGGCGAGGTCGACGATGAATTTGTGGTGGCGATCTGGATCTTAAACTGGCACGTCCCGGACGAGGGGCTGGTCTTGGTGATCGTCGCCAAGCCATCGAAGTAGCAGCTCGTGTTGAGTTGATCGTAGAGCTGGTAGTAACTGTTGAAAGCATACGAAGCTTTCGCGTCACTACCCATCCCATCACACGAGCTGCCGGGGACGATCGACGTGCAATCCGAGTGAGAGCACGCATAGTCCATGTTGTTCCCCAGTCTGGCGATATCACCGCTCGGATCCAGCACGCACCACTGCCGGGGAAGATACTTGACACTGCTCGCGTTCACCAAGTTGGCCGTCGCGTTTCCACTGCCTTGAAGATCTAGCCTGTACTTGGCCTTGCCATCGTAGCCGAAGATCCCCCAGTGCCTCTCAAAGTTTCCTGGCGAGATGGTCTTTTGATCCTCGTCGAGAAGGCTGAAGAGGTAGGCCTCGAGCGGAGGCCTCCTCAGCGGCGTGCCGGACTGTAGGACGTGACGGATGAAAGCCTGGTTGAATCTGACAGCGTTGGCGACGTTGGCGTTTATGTCCCCGTCGGTCGGCCACCCGATCTCTCCGATGATGATCGTCATGTTGGAATAGCCGGCTTTCGTGAGAGCTGCCACCAGCAGATCATAGCTCGCGTCGAAAACGTTGGTGTAGCTGAGGTTGCCATCCACTAGCGGGAAGTCAGTGCCGTCGAAGAAAGCGAAGTCCCTTGGAAAGTGTGGGTCTTGCTGGAGGCTGAGGAACGGATAGACGTTGATAACGAAGGGCGCGTTGTGCTCGGCCAGGGCTTCCACAACTTTGAGGACCTGTGGTGCTATGTCTGGACGGAAAATCCCTCCTGAAGGTAATGTCGAGTCGCCATTGCTAAGAACGTCCCCGTTCAACGGTATAGTGGCCTTGATGCTCTCACCCAGTCCTGCACTTACCAGAGCATCCTGGACGTTTTTCAGTGCCGGGTACGCCAAGTTGTCATAGCTTCCATTGTACGCCTTGAGAAATGGCTCGTTTCCTACGGCCACGTATCTGCAAGTAGCTATAGTAATATAAACATGATCTGTGTCTCACGACAAAACAATGACGAAACACTTACTTTATCTTGACCCCGTTCTTCGCTGTCCTGTATCGAGTGACATTTCTACGCACCCAGTTCCGAGCCGCTGCAGGAAGTGTAGCAACCAGCTCCAGCATCTCGTTGGGAATTGCTATCATCAGCTCCATATCTGTTCCCCGAAACGACTCCATCACTCCAGGATCTGCATCGAACAGCTTCACCTTGGAGATCCCATTCGCTCGAAGCATCTGGACAACGGTTTTGTTGGGAAGCCTGTGAGATGCCATTGTCCCCCAATTCACACCGATCCCTGCAGCCTCCGAGTGCCTTGAGCTGCACCACACCATGCACAACAGCAGTAGCTGCCACCACCACTGCAGCCGGAGCGAGGAGCTCCGTCTCGAGATCATCCCGATGGGCTGCAAACTGCTGTTACGCTTGTTACGCTTGTTCCTCTTCATGCGCTTAGAAACGCTCCAGGGAGGAGCGTTTGGAAGCCTGAACGCGAGAGGGACAGCGAGCCTGCATCCAACGCATCTGTCAGAAATCCGGGCGATGGATCACCAACCGCGCATAAAAAAAAAACATGCTACCTTGTCTGATATACTTACGGCCACGCTAAGTAGGTGCCTTGTTGCGTTGTCGTCTTCGGAGAACAATGAAGGAAGGAAGAGTTTGAGTCGTTGACGACTCCATTGAGCCTGTCCATGGTGTAAAATCTCCAGAGTCAGGGAATTTGTAAGGCGTCTTAAATCGGACAAGCGAGCGGTCTACGTCAAAGGCACCCACCTCTTCTGCGCGCGTTCACATGACTCTCTGTGCGCCTATAGGGAGAGCATCCATGCGTCCTTGCAGAAAAGTGGCTTCCAAGGGAAGCATTCAGTTCAGTGCGCCACGTAGAATAATAAACAAACTGGACTAGGAACCTGAGATAATTTACCGATTTTTCAAGGAATCGGCATTGAACTTCAACTCCTGGAACATCCTCGTCACCCAGTTAGCGTTGCTCGAGGAAGACCCTTTGGCTTGCTTAAGAATAAGCCGGAGTTTCTCGTAAGAAGGCTTCTCAGGCTCGACAGCGATGCACTCGCTTTCGCCAGAGCCATCCGTGAGGAAGACCTGGATGTCATTCATAGCACTCGTCAACACAAGGAAAAAAACATGGAGAAAGGAAACGGAGAACGACGTACAACCTGCCAGCTCCCTGGATGTCTTTTAAAAATCTTCACGTTGTCTCCTAAGATTCGGAGCTGCTGCAAGTAATAAACCATAGAAAAGCTCTTGACGAAGTCCTCTTTCAATTTCTTCTTTCCTCCAAACCCAAAGTCGGAGATCACCTGTGTGAAAAAAGATCAACAAGAGCTCGAAAAGCTTTCAAACAGCTAGCTTACTTGCCCGTCTCGCCACTCAGCATTCATAAGTATAAGAGGCCGATCGATATTCCTGCTTGCCATTTCCTGGATAACATCCAGCGTCTCCGCTGTTGGAAACAGTACCAAAGCCACCTGGATGACAATGGAATCGATCCGATCAGACCAAAACTTAACGCTCTAGAACTCTTACATTTCCATTCTCCCAAGCACCCACGGCATCTCCTTCGTCGATGAGGTATTTTTTGAGCTCGCCACCGCTAGAACTTTCATTCTCAACAGGAGTGATCCTCGAGAGAAGAGACGAGACCATCGGTGCCGCAGCTTTGAATCGCTGCTGGATTCCTCCCTAGCAAAGCACAGCACACTAGTCCACAGCATGAGCAACGAAAGAACACACGAGAGAACTTACGGGCCAATCGTCGAGGTCGGTAGCTCCGATCAGTGGAAGCGGCATTTCAAGTTGGAGACGCTTGGAACCATCTCTCATCGCTTGCTTGCACGCGATTCTTGCCTGGAATGTGAGGAATTCCTCTCCATTCTTCCCAAGAACAGCAACACCTACCTGATCAATGCTCTCCTCCAGAGTATCCGGCAGTGGGAAGATTCTTGGCGGCGCTCCAGCCTAGAGCACGCAAACAAGGAAATCGCATCGACTAGATGAAACAGCAGCAAAAAACCTGAGAAGAATCCTGGGCCGCATTTCTCACTGGTCGATGCTTCCTCTGGAGCTGGTGTGGCGGCGCGGCGCCTATCGATCGCGCCACGATCCACGACGATCGCTCGAGTCCTAGAAGAATCATCAGGAAAATATTTTGGCCTAGGGTGTAGAGAGGAGAGCTAAGAACCCTAATATTTCTTGGGGAGCTATGGCGGGCGCGTCGGCCGCGGGCGTGATGGAAGAGGTGAGCAAGCTGAGCGTGGATCAGATCCGGCAGGTCAAGGATCAGGTGGATGGCGAGCTCAGCGTGCTCCAAGACAGCGTCAACAACATAAGAACTGCAGCGAATCGATTCGAGATGGCTGCCAAGGCGCTCCAAAATCTCTCGCAGCATCCCAATGGTGGGAAATGTAGCTATGAAAATGCTCTAACTCTCTCTCTTTTCGATCAATTCAGGCAAGAAGCTCCTGGTTCCACTCACGGCATCGCTCTACGTTCCTGGAACGCTTCAAGACGTTGAGAAAGTTCTTATAGACGTTGGAACAGGCTACTACATTGAGGTATAGAAGTTTTTCTCTCTTCTTTCTAGAGTTTCTAGCCTCGTTGTTTCTTTCCACGAGAGATCATCGCAAGTTCTACTGTTGTGTCTAGAAATCTGTCACCGATGGGAAGGATTACTGCGACCGCAAAATCAACTTCTTAAAAGCCAACCACGAGAAGCTGATGGAGGTAAGCTTTTTCCTTGTTTCTCTTTTGTTCTTTCTTCGTGTCCGATGCGAGATTTTGTTCTTCTGGAACTCGAACAGGTAGCTTCCGAGAAGAGGAATGTGGCCGAGCAAGTCAATATGGTTTTGCAAGCCAAGCTACGCCAAGTAATGGCCTCGAAGTGACTTCAAACAAGACCAGGATCAGCCAGGAAGCTCTTACTTTTTCTACTTTTGACGCTTCTCACGAGCGTAGTTCTCACAGGAGCTGATCTTTTATACTGCGAAGATCATTTGCAAACTCTTGGAAGTTTTCGACCAGCGTGAAAACACCGAATGCTCTTTTGATTCAATCCAGGCGCGGCTGGCTGGAAACTCTTATTACAACAAACCCGATTGTCACTACTACGTTCTACGCTCCACCACCCGCGACAAAGCGGAGAAGAGAGAATCTCTCCTCCATGATCGCACAACGCGGCATGTATACGAATCGAGACCGCGGATGGTGGTGCACAGCAGCAAGAGTGTCAACAAAGGGGGCCAAAATGAACGAATATTTGCAACTTTTGATGGGTGTCGGTGACTATAGAGAAGGGAAAAAAAAACGTATTTTTTCTGCCAAGAGATGAAAAGAGATGATAATGCCCGATGATGCTCGATCATGGTGTTGATGAGAGAAGAGTGTAGTGGAAGCAGCAGCAAATCTCTCCTTCCAATCCAACACTAAACGAGAGAGAAGATTGATCATGAGAAGAGAAAGCCAGGAAGAAGATAGATAAACAAAGTGGTGGAAAGGAGAAGAGAGAAAGAAAAGGAAAAAGTATGGTGTGAGGGAGTGATGGATGGAAAACGAAAGGGGAGGAAGGAGTGATGATGAATGCAGTGGCAGTAGCAGCAGTGGCAGTGGCAGCAGCAGCAGTAGCAGCAGCAGATCTAACTTTTGTTTCGGGCTCGCACCTCTGATGTAGACGCCACAGCGGTTGGTTGCCACGAAACCAAAATCGCTTTGTCTTCCCTTGCTACTGCTTGCTGGCCGATGATGACGATCGGTGATCCAACCTGGTTATCGATCGGTGGGAAGGAAGAATCGCTCGAAAACGCTGCTCCAACCACCGAAGAGCCTTTTTGCGGGTGAGAGAACTTTGGCAGCGAAGCAGCATTGTCTCCCCCCTCCAGATCTAGAAATTGTCACCACCTGCTCTCGGCTCTCGATCCAATCGATGCTATGCCACTGCTCCCACTCAATCCATCAGGAAAAACCACTCTTTTCCTTGGCTTGGCGCTGGAATTTGGACGGGGATCTCACCCAATGGCGTATAGGACAGAACTCTCGCAAAACTCCCGGAAGAAAGAAGAACGAAAGAATCCCTCGTGTGTGGCCTGCTACTACCTAGACGATCGAGAGTCATCTCGGCTACTATCTGGCTGTTGCTGCTGCTGCTGCTGCTGCTGCGATTGCTGCTGCTGCTGCTGTTGGTGCTGCTGCATTTGCTGCTGCTGTTCTTGCGGATCGTGATGCCCGCCTCGCGTACCGTAGGGGCCGCCCTGGAACGCCGCCAGCATCCCCAGATGGCTGCTCTCCGGCGGCTGCTGGCCAAGGAGCATCGACGTGAGTTGTCCCAAGTGGTGGCCGCCGCCGCCGCCGCCGGTACCGCCCGGCTGTAAGTCGAGGCCCGGCAGTATCCGCGGCGGCATGATCGTCACGCCGCCGGGCAGCACGGACCCCGTTAGCGGCATCATCGGGCTGCCTTGTGTCACTTGCTGTGCCGTGCGGTACAGCTGCGACGCGCCACCGCCGCCGGCCCCACCGCCGGCGGTATTAAACGTCCAGATTGCCTGCTCCGCCACGCCGCCGCCGCCGCCGCCGCCGCCAGTGGGCAGCATCCAAAACGCGCTGGGCACCATCAATCCCTGCTGCATTGTCTGGTGCTGGTGCTGCTGGGTGGATCGCGCGGCGGCGCTGGGGCTCCGGCCGAGCGTGATTCCCTGGGGATCCGGGGGATCCCTCAGGCTGCTCAGCAATCCCCGGGGACGCTTGCGGTAGTGGCCGCTGCTCTCGGGGCTGCCGCTACCGCCGCCGCCATCGCCGCCGCCACCACCGCCGCTACCGCCCTCGTCCACGTCCCCAGCGCTGCCCAGTAGCCCCTCGTGCTGGAAGCCCACGACCAGCTCCTCCCCCGGCTGCCCTAACAGCCCGGATCGCAGCCTTGTCTCCTCGCTACTCTCGGTCGCCCACCCCTGCGCCGCGGCGGCCCTAGCGGCGGCGGCAGCGGCGGCGCTTTGCTGGCGGAGCTGCTCTAGCCGGTGCTGGTGCCCCGCCGCCGCCGCGAGCTCCGCCGCCTCCCGCTGCTGCTGCCCTAGCGCCGCCAGGCCGATGGAGGTGTGGAGGCTGGCGGATCTCCCGGAGCCGGAGCTCCGGAGCGAGCCCTGGAGCGTGGCGGCGATGGCGGGGATGGTGCCCGTGCCCGTGGCGGCGATGATGGCCGGCTCCGCCTGCTGGAGGAGCCACTCGATCGTCTCGCCGTCGGACTTGTGGCCCAGCTCGCGCGTGAGCTGGAATATTCGCGCCGCGCACACCGCCGGCATCCGGATCCTCCGCCCCCGCCCCTCCACCTTGGTGTGCCGGTCCTTGGTGCTAGCGCGCTTGGATGGCGGCTTCTTGGGCGGCGCTGCCGGCGGCGCCGCCGCCTGTTCTTGAGCTTCTCCCCCGCCGCCGCCACCCCCGGCGGCCTTCCCAACCGCTATAGCCGACGCCGCGGCTCCTGCTCCTCCTCCTCCTCCCGGCTGCTCCGCCGATGGCCCCATTGGAGATTCGTGCTGGGAGCCTCCCATTGCCGCCATTGCCTGGGCGATAGCTCCGCCTTGCGCAGCGGCGGCGGCGGCAGCAGCGGCGGCGGCTTGAGCTTGCAATCTATAGCGTTGCTGTTGATGTTGCTGCTGCTGGTAGAATTGCTGCTGCTGCTGCTGTTGCTGCTGTTGCTGCTGCTGCTGCTGCTGGGAGGACAATCCACTCTCCGAGCTTTGGGAGTCGGATTTGCCATGGCTGGCAGGATCCATACGCTGCCGAGGAGCCCCTAAATTCTTGCGACTAGCTCGACCACCACCACCACCACTCTCCTCCTGTTCCTCCTCTTCCTGTTCGTCCTCTTTCTCTACAACTACGAACGCGATCCAACTCTGTACCGCATGAACTACAGAGACGATGACGATGGTGACGCTCAGGCATCCAGGCACGAATCGGAGCAAATCCTCCACTGTTCCTCCGCCGCCTCTGGAATTCGCCGCCCCGCCACGCCCGCGCCCCGCTCGCTCGCCTCGCCTCAGCAGATGCCAGCAGAGGGCAAATCCCCGAGCATTGCCCCGCCAATTCCTCCGCTCCCGCGCGGCCTTGACGGATCCTCCCGGCTGTAGCAATGCTGCTCCTCCTGCGCAACCTCGCCGCCTCTCACCGCCGCCACGCCTCATGCTGCCTGGTTTCCGGGCGGATTGGCGAGCTAGATCCGAGAGAGCGGCGGCGGCAGCAGCGACATTTGCAGCCCACCCAGCCGCTGCCCATCAGAGCCCCTTGGTGTAGCGCAATTCCCCTCAAGTGCCCATCACTCCAATCGATCTATCCGGCCCAGTGTTCTTGGAAGAAGCGCGAAAGAGGAAGGAATTCGCCCAACAAGGAGAGGAGAGGAGACAAGAGCGAGCGACCTGTCACTGTTAAACCCCCGCTATTGTGGTTTGGGAGAAATCCAACCATGGCAAACCTCCATCAACCTTAGATTCTCGTCAAGGACCACCTTGAATGAATGCTAAATCGATGGAAAATCCAACTCTCCCCCCTATGGCACTTGGCTGCCCGAGCGGTGGATGGATCCAGCAAAAGCTTCCTTGATGTAAGCAATCAAACCGCCTAAAGTTCCCTCCTATAGAGGCTAGAACTCCTCCGTGCTGCTGTTCTTCCCGGAAGAAGAGAGTGAGGAAGAGAGAGAAAGAGAGTGAGAGGAGAGAGAGTGAGAGAGAGAGAGAGAGAGCTCTTCACTGGCAGTGTGAATATCTCAGGGTCGTGGCTTTGTTTGGCTCTCGTTCTCACAAAAGAGAGACAAAGGCGACGACGCGACGATCCGGGCCCATAGCCTCTCCTCGTCGCAGCGCTTCCATTTCCATCACTTCAATCAACAGTCGTCGTCATCGCCGATCGGGCCCAGCACCACTCTCTCTCTTTTTACCGCCTGCAATCGATCGATGGATGGATGGATGATCGGCCACTGTGACAGCGATCCCGCGACCCGGGAGGAAGCGCTAGAATTGGCAAGAGAGAGAGAGAGAGAGCGCTAGATCAAACGTAGGAGTGAAGATCTCTCTCTCTCTCTCGCTCGCGCTCTAGCGCACCTCTAGCGACTGTAGATGATAACATGAGAGAGGAGGAATGGTTGGGTTGGGTGGGCGGATCGCCCGTCGTCCCGTCGTTCTTCGTGTTTTTTGGAGGGACCCAAGGCTGGCCTGCCTGTGACCTCCCAACCCGACGCGACGCTACTCTCTCCTCCTCGCGATTTCTTTAATGCTTCTCTCTTTCTCTCCTTCCTCTCTTCCCCTGCTTTTTAGCCCCGGACAAAAAACCAAAAGCTTGCCTCGATCAAGCACGAAATGTTTCTCTGCAGCGCGATTGGGATTGACGAATCCTGCTAACCGATGCCTTTTGTAGAGAGCATCTGGGAGAAGATCAATCGATCGCCGCCTCGATCGCTCGCTCGCTCGATCGATCGCGCGATGATCAAAAGACTAAGGCTATTTAGCACAGAAATCCATCTCGTGCGCCACGTGGCGCGATGCCATTCGCGCCCAGCCCGACCAAAAAGCAACGCGGCCAATCCCGGATTAATAGACGCTCTCCCGCTCGGCTATTACCGGCCAATGATTTACCGTTTCAAGGACACCAACGGCCACGATCCGGTCGCATCCAAGGCGTAGGATCTCCCACGTGGACGCGCGTCACCACTGCGTCACTCACGCCCGGGTGAAAGAAAGACGTGAAAGACACGGATTTACCCGTCACATTTACTGCGGCGGCGCGCTCGCTCGCTCGCTCGCCCGATGAAATAAAAGAAGCTAGCTTACCTTCGCTTCTTCTTCTAGTAGGTGCCTTTAACCTTTTACTTTTACCCGAATTACAGTTGCCAAAGGTTGACCTGTAATGGTTTGTCCTATGTGTATGGCCAGGGGTTAAGCGCTGGACGGCTGCGATGCGATCGATCGGTGACCATGGTATCGTGTCGTCATCCCTTTGTAGCTGGCGGGCTTGGCTGGCTTTCTATTTAAACTACCGGGCTTTTGTTGCTTAGCCATTGGCCGATTATATTCGATTCGAACCCACCAATGGCAACAACACGGCCAAAAAAAAAAACAGGAAAAAAACGGGTCGGGTGGGGGGATAGAAATAATTTGGGGGAATTCATCCAAAACGATGCCCGCTAGCGCTGATTTGTCGGTGGAGGGAGCCTTGATTCATACATTCCAGCAAATTCTTGTATGTAGGGTTTTGGATGGTAAAAAAAGTTAGGGGAGAAAATGCCCGGGCAACAACTTCCCGGCATCATTCGCCACTACTTTACTTGGGCACTAGCGATCAATCGAATCAAGAGAAAAGAAAGATAAAAGAATTGGGTGTAAGGGGCTGGATCTATGATCGATCGTGGGTGGTGGAATGCCAGTGGTTATAGGTATCGCGGGGATCAATTAGTTTGCCCGCAAGCTTTTGGTTGAATACGACTTAATCGCTCGTGACCCTTTTTCTACCTCGCTGCGCTCGAGAATAGACAAAGATTTGCTCGTTTGGCCCCAAGCACGCCGTACGCCGCCCGTACGCGTATAAGCTCCCGGAATTTCAACGCCCGTGCTGGTGCTTGTCGCAAACTTCTCTCGGAGTTGAGGTCGCTTTGATCCAAGGAAAGCTTTAAAACCTCGGATTTGTCTAAGCGGGCGGAGAAACTCGAAACAGTTGTTTTGTTCCTCGAGCCGGAGGGAGGAAATTCTTTCCCAGTGGATTCCCAACACCGCTTCCATCGCTGGGCGAGCAAGAGAATGGTTCCAGCTTCCATGGTTGGGTTCGTGGCTCGCTATATTCTACGCTACTTATGCAGCTAGATGTGGAGGAATATTTGATTTGCTTGGCAAAAGTTGGCATCAATCAATCAAGCTGCGTGACATCATGCCGAGTGGCGAATAAACAAACGCCACAAGTCAACAGCATGTAATATACTCGAGGAGACAATGAATCCAAGATGCTTGGCACTAAGCAGTTGTTTAAGGAATTCTAGCCAGGGGGTGATGAATCGAGGCAATGTTTAAATCATGAAAAAGTAGTTAGTGAGTCAATTTCATATTTATACCTTTTATTTTCCAATATTATGATTTTAACGAAATAGACATAGACATTGGGCATTATAGTAGAGCATTTAAGACTGTTATTACGTTTTAGCACCCAGGATTGAGACTCCAAAGATTATAATGCTATATAACAATATCCTGCCTGAAAAGATCTAAAACCATCTTGGTAGAGATCTTTTTCTTGGTAGAGATCAACAAAAATGCGTGCTTGTTCTTGGATTTATAGAAAAGCTCTTGCACTGCGGACCTAGCTACAAAGCGATTGGATCGATATGAGTGGAAGGAGTGATGGAGGACAGAATTACAAGGGAGTGGCGCTACTGCGCTCTGGCGGAGCTCCGCGGAGGAGAGCGCGCGCGCCCACTGCCACACTGCGCCACTGCCGCTGCTGCTACCAACAAAAGGGTTTTTCGGTACTCTGCCACTGGCGCCAGAAAAGCGCTGGAAGACGATCAATCGCAATTCACAAGACAAGCTCCTCTTCGCATCTTTTCCCCCTTGACTCGAAAAATTTTGAATTTTGGCGGTGTCAGCTTTTCAATTCTGGGGAATATTCGTTAGGGCATGCTTGCGTGGCCTTCCCGCCCCGTCGGCCGCCACGTGGCGTCGTGTGGATAAGATCCTTGTTGTTCTTGGTGGCTATGGCGGCCGTGGCCGCGGCGTTAGGGCCGCTCCCGCCGCGCCATCACCAGATTCCCCGCGGAATCGGCTCCACCAATCCGGGAAATGCGACTCCACTGCCGCCGCCGCCGCCGCCGCATTCCCAGTCGCTCCTCTCGCAGCTCCAGCAGCACGATCGCGGCGAGCAGCAGCAGCATTTGGAGAATGAATCGCGGAAAGGCGATCGCGAGCTGGAGAAGAGCTTCCTGGAGGCGCTGTCGGGGCATCGGTCGAGGAGCGCGCAAGAGACGCAAGAAACCCTAACCAGGTTAGTGGTGTGCTCGCCGAGTTCTTCCTCCTCCTCGCGAAGGTCTCGCCGCCTGTCCGTGACATCCGTGGGACGAGTCCTCCTCAATCTCAAGGATGCCGATGCCGCGCTCATCTTCTTCTACTGGGCCTCGAATCACATCCATCCCGCGACCTTCTGCTACAATTGCTTGCTCGAGGCGCTGGTGAAATCGGGCAGGCATCGCCAGGCCTATCGGATCTTCACGGAGGAGATGCTCCCAATCTGCCAGCCCGATGTCTACACCTACGCGGCGCTCCTCCGGGGATTCTGCCGTGGCGGAGAGATCGATCAAGCCCAGCGATGCTTCGACGAGATGCGATCCAAGAACCTGGTGCCCAACGTGTTCCTGTGTAGCATCTTGATCGACGGGCTGTGCAAGGCCAAGCGATCGATCGACGCGCTGCGTTGCTTCCGCGCGATGCAAGGCGCCGGGATCGTGGCGGACACGGTGATCTACACCGCGCTCCTCTCGGGGCTGTGGAAGGAGAAGCGGCTGGATCAAGCGCTGGCCATCCTACACGAGATGCGGGACCATGGATGCGAGCCGAACGTGGTGACTTACAACTCGCTCATCGATGGGCTGTGCAAGAACAACGAGCCCGATCGCGCGCAGGAGCTCTTCGAGCATATGAAGAGCGTGGAGTGCTCGCCATCGATGGTGACTTACAACACGCTGCTAGATGGGCTCTTCCGGACTGGCAAGCTCGAGCGCGCCATGGCCCTCTTCCAGGAGATGCTGGATCGCCGCTCCCACGACGTGATCTCCTTCAACATCCTCGTCACTGGGCTGTGCCGCGCCGGGAAGATCGAGACCGCGCTGGAGTTCTTCCGCAAGATGGACGATCGCTGCTCGCCAAACGTGATCACTTACAGCGTGCTCATCGATGGGCTGTGCAAGGCCAACCGGGTGAGCCAGGCGGTGGAGCTCCTGGAATCTATGAAAGCTCGCGGCTGCTCGCCGGACGTGATCACCTACACGATCCTGGTGGATGGGCTTTGCAAGGAGAGCAAGGTGGCGGCGGCCTGGGAAGTTCTTCGCGAGATGCTCGACGCTGGATGCGTCCCCAACCTGGTGACTTACAACTCGCTGCTGCATGGGCTGTGCCGCGCGAGGCGAGTGAGCGACGCGCTGGCGCTCATGCGCGACATGACGTGTCGCGGCTGTACGCCCAACGTCGTGACGTACGGTACGCTCATCGACGGGCTGTGCAAGGTGGGGCGAGTCAAGGACGCGTGCGCGATGCTGGCCGACATGATCGACAAGGGCGGTACGCCGGACCTCATGATCTACAACATGCTCATCAACGGGCTGTGCAAGGCGGACCAGGTGGACGAGAGCATCGCCCTGCTGCGCCGCGCGGTATCCGGCGGTATCAAGCCCGACGTGGTCACGTACAGCAGCGTCATCTACGGGCTGTGCCGCTCCAACCGGCTGGACGAGGCGTGCCGCCTGCTGCTCTACGTCAAGTCGCGCGGCTGCCCGCCCGACGTGATCCTCTACAGCACGCTCATCGACGGGCTTTGCAAGGCCGGCAAGGTGGATGAGGCGTTTGATCTCTACGAGGTGATGACCGGCGATGGCTGTGACGCCGACGTCGTGACGTACAGCACGCTCATCGACGGGCTGTGCAAGGCCGGGAGAGTGGACGAGGCGCATTTGCTGCTGGCCAGGATGGTCCGGATGGGGACGCCGCCATCGACCATGACTTACAACTCGCTCATCAAGGGGCTGTGCGATCTCAATCACTTGGACGAGGCGATCGAGCTGGTGGAGGAGATGGAGCGGAGTAACTGCGCTCCCAGTGCCGTGACTTACAACATCCTGATCCACGGGATGTGTAGGATGGAGAGGGTGGACTCGGCGGTGGTGCTGCTGGAGCAGGCCAAGGCGAGGTGTGTTGCCGCCGGCGGTACCGCGCTGGATACCATTGCGTACAGCTCGCTTATTGATGGGCTGTGCAAGGCGGGCAGGGTGGCCGAGGCGCTGGACTACTTCCAGGAGATGATTGACAATGGTGTCATTCCAGATCATATAACTTATAGCATCTTGCTAGAGGGGCTCAAGAAGAGCAAGGATTTGCACGAGCTGCGGCACCTAGTGCTAGATCAAATGGTCCAACTTGGGTACCGTTAGATTCTAACTCTCCAAACATTTAAAACCTTTTCATTATTATAGAATTTGAATAAAACAATTCCTAACAAAAACAATATTATATTGGAATATATTTAAAATATGTTTGGATATTTTAAGATATCCAGTTGTTCTTCATTAAGATTAATTTTATATTTATGATTTATAAATATATTTATAATTTATAT